CCGGGGTGTTCTCGGCGCTGCTGATGTCAACCACGACCATCTTGGCGGGCTGGTGTCCCGACGACCGCCATCGCCGCATCTTCTCCGGCCTGCTGCTACCGTTCTGAGCTAACCCTGGCGGTGCGTCTTCGCAGAAGGGGTTGCTCGAACTGCCAGAGAACCCGTCGCGGCCCAGCACGGGGCTTGCCTCGACGTACTCCCCCGCGGTCGAGAAGGCCGAAAGGTCGAGCTTGACGCTGCTGTTCGTGGAGGCGACGAGCTTCATGAGCTCGGCCGCCTCCGCATTCGGCATCAGGTTGCCGGCGCTGGAGGACCTCGCGCGCGCGCTCCTGTTGCTGCCGTAGGCGGAGGCGGTGGAGGAGGAGGTGCCGTAGGTGGAGGAGGACGCGGACGGGCGCTGCTGCTGCTGCTGCTGCTGCTGCTGCTGCTGCTCCTGCTGCTGGCCCCTGCCGCCGCTGCTGCTGACATCTTCCACCGCGTCGTAGAACTCGTCCCCGCCGAGGGAGCTGTCGTTGGAGATGTGCTGCTGACCTATGTTCCACGCTGCCGTCCTGCTGTCTTCCGTGCCGCCTCTTCGCTTCTCGTGCGCCATTGGCAGAAACAAGGGTGTGTCGAACGATACTACTCCCGGTAGTGATGAGCCCTTCTCTCTCCCTAACCACGCCCGTTTGCTGAGCCCAGCAGCAGGACCGGGGTAGCAGTCAAAGCAAACCAACTGCTGTGTTCGCCAAAACAGCGGCGGGGTAGCTAGAGCTTTACAAGGGAATTGAGGGCACTTACTCGTCCGTTGTGGCGGCGGCAAACCTGCAACAACTAGATTGGGTTAGCTATTGCATCAACATGAGTGCAAGCCCTGGTACGCCAACGGGACCTGACACCAAGTTTGAACAGGAGCAACTACATCGCGATACGTTATATCTCCACGCACGTGACACGGAGGAGATTCTCTTACCAAGCGGTGGGATATAGCCTGCGTGAAAGGAATCTAACAGCGTACCCCCCTGCGGCATAACAATTATGTGGTGATGTTGTCATCGATGTATCTGCAAATAAGTCTCTGATGAAGTAGTTGCACGTCGTTTCGATCACAGCGGCATGCACGTATATGCGCCACTCCAGCCTCCACTTTTACCAAGCCAAGATGTTTGGCATACGATTTTTATTTGTGATGCCCCTGCTAAATAGTCTAATCTCTGTGGTTGCGGCATAGCAGCTTAGAGCTGGAGAGGTAGTGGCTGTTGACGACAGCCCTTACCGACCTGAACCTCATTATGTCTCCCGCAAAATCAAGTGGCGGGTCGTACTGCTGTAGTCTACACGCCCAGGCTATGTTTCTACCAATCAATCTACAATCGTCGCGTGATGAACGTTGATTAATATCTCCCCGTGCTGTGGGTGACAATTAATCAGGTCGTGCAATGTTGTTGCTCGTTCGATCTCCTTTCTTTCACGTCGTTTCCTGGCAAAGTCCTCTAGATTAGTGTTCAAATTAAATGTCTTTAAAATCTTGAGCGTTCTACACAACATGATCGGTATTGCTTTGCAGACACGTCTACGAGCAGCAGCACACGGTGTGTTGCGGGTTTACAAGCTTGGACCTTGTAATCTTCCCAAAAGTGAAATAATGTTATCCTTCCCAAAACTCCTTGACAACAAGTGCTACTACTACAGCGAGCGGCATCACCACAACATACATGCATGCTCTTTCTCCATCATACATCAAACTACTCGAAACCTTCCCACACAAGCACCGGTTTTCATTCTCCCTTACCAGCGCCTACAGAGGTACTAACTCGACCTCCATCCACCGTGTTACTGATGACTTGGATTGAACAACAAGTACATGTGTGACTCTGGTCATAAATATGACGCTTAAGCAGCAACCATACCTTGCCCCGGTCAAGGATCGTACGCCTCTAATTGACACGAAATTACCCTACTCTCATAAAAAATATCCCACAACGTCGTCATCATCACCATCATCATCGCGAACAGGGAGACATTGATCATCGAAACACGTCGATGCCGTGACACAGGGTGGCGAAAGGGGAACAAACAAGGAACACAAGAACCCAGCAACTAATCCACCACGGCCTGTATCTTTATCACGCACATGGACACGGCACGCACGGAACAAAAGAAACATTCAAATACCAACGTAAGCAAACAGGGCTTTTGCGTGTGATGACACAGGAGAAAAATCATGATGCGGTGGAGCCTGCTCTAGTAGTTATCTGTTGTGGTCTTTTTTCCCGCCCAACAGACAACAAAAATCACACCAGCTGGCCATAACATACGGACCGTCCCCGCTTCCAAGACATACGAGAGCCCCGAAACAGTTACTGCTGTAGTGGGCTGCCTACACACGATAATCATGAAAACCATGATTCGTAAGTAGCGCGAAACAAGGGCGAGTGCTGCTGTTGCAACATTCGTACCTTGATCGGAGCACATGCACACGCTTCATCTTGACCTTGGACGCTGCTCCAAAACAACGAACTGGAAAAAGACACACCATTGGATACACCCACAAGACCACGACTACGCTAGATCGCCACACCCGCATACACTGCTGTACCACCAAAAAGCGCAACCACACCCGGACGGTGAAGGAACGACTCGCGTCAAAAATCGGAAACAACTCTTCCGTCTCCTCCCCGCTCCGCCGCCGCCGCCTGCTCCCAACTCGAAACCTCCGGGCTCGACAGTACCCCATCCTCGCTCACGCCGCCGTTCGGTCGCCAGTGCAGCACCTTGTTCGCAGCCGGGGTGGCAGCGACGTCCGCCGAGCACATGGACGGCGCTCCACGGCTCGGGCTGCAGCTGGCGCAGCACCCCCGTCTTCCTCCACTCCGGCGACGGCCTCCGCCGCCGCCGCCGCCGCCGCTGCGACCGCCACCACCATCGCTGAAGGCGTATCGGCGGCAAGCTTTAAGGCAGCAGCTACAAACGATGAGGACCAAGCAGAACAGGCTGGTGAACCAGGCCAGAGAGCTTAGCAGCATCCGGTTCTCGACCTCGGCCACCTTAGCCTGTTGGCGCCGCCAAACATGAAACAGCAGTGTGAGGAGTTGTGCCGCAAAGAGGTGACGGCGGATGTAGACGAGCGGCAAAAGACGAGAACGAGAGACACTTTTTTCTCTTGGGAGAGGGGTGCCAACTGGGCGAGATGGACTACGACCGGCAATATGGTGGTCGAGGGCACATCTCCTGCGCAGCACTCCGGCAGGTTTGGTGGGCTACACCGCCAACACCACCGCCATTGCCGCTCATGTTGCCTCTGCTTCCGCGTGTACGCGCGGGTGCGTTGCACGAGAGCTATTACAACGCCATCACCTGTAAAAAAAAACACTAACGCACGGAAACACGTGCCGCGAAACTACATCGCCGGTACCTGCAACTCTTGGAAGGCCGGCCACTGGTCGCCGATGTGCGCAAGGTGTGCCGCCTGCGTGTTGAGCAGCTGCGAGCGCGAAGCTCGCGCTCGCTCCTGCTCTTGAATCATTTGCGCGATGACGTTCTGGTAACAACCGTGCACGTCGTCTGCCAGCATTGTTTCGCAGGGGTTTCCACGAAAGTGGACGAAAAAGGCGCGGAGGATAGAGCAGGAAAAATGGGGAGACAACAAAGAGGGTCGGTTTCAAAAGCATTATCGGCTGTCGTCTCCGAAGCGTAAACTCTGAAAAACCCACGTAACATAACATCTTCGAGGCTTCGATCAATGCGTAAGCCTACGCCAGAGTACGCGACAGCGACCCACCTATGTACAAACCGAAGAGGCTCTGGTTGATCTCCAGAGTCTTGATCTTGTTCATGAGCGTCTTGAAGATGCTCTCGTACTGCCCGCCGATCGCCACCCCCCCGCCCGCGGACTGCTGGGCCTGCTGCGTCCGCGCCAGGACCTCCTCGCGGAACTCGCTGAAGCTAAGCGTGTCCAGGCACGCCGCCGTCGACAGCACCGCCACATCCGTCTCCTCGACGAGCACCACCGGCGAAGAAGAAGCCTCTATAATCTCACCGCCGCCGCCGTCGCGTCCCAACGCAGCAGATGCGTCATGGTGGTGGCACCCCTGGGCCGTCGCCGGCGGGAGCCCGCCGCCGTCGCCGCCGTCGCCGCCGCGCCCCTGTTGTTGCGTCAATGAGTCGCCCTCCGCCTCCCGCGGTGGCGCCATTGCCACCACCGGGGGGGGGGCGTGGTCTGCGTCCGCCGCCGCCGCCGCCGGCCCCACCCCCCCCGCCGATATCGTCGTCGTCGAACCTTCGCGCTGTTGCTGGCTACCATTCGACGTGCCAGGAGGTTCTGGCGAAGACGATACGACGCCGGCGGTAGCAGCAGAATGCTGCTGCTCACCTCCGTTCGCTGGCTCAAGACCAGCAGCAGCACCGGCAGGTCCTGCCTGCTGTCCGCCACCGCTGCTTCCGCCCGGATAATCATCTGCCGGGCTTGCGGGATCCGCTCGCGCAGCGGTCGCTCCGCTGTTTACCTGGTCGGCCGGTGGTCTCGGCACGGTTCCTCCGGCGTGTGCATGATCGCTGCGTTGGCCGCCGCCGTCGGTCTCGCGCTCCTCTCCTCTACCGCCAGACGCCGAAGCACCGCTGTCCCCAACACCGCCACCTCCGGAAACGGCATGCACCCCGTTGACACCACCACCGTTGCTCGACAGCGGCTTCCCCGTCGCGGGAAGGTGCTCGCTACCGCCTGCACCTGCCAGTCCAGCATCGCTTTTGGGGACCGTATCGACGTCTCCCTGAGCGGAACCACTGTTGGCTATTGCCCCTTCAACGACGCTGGCAGAACCTGGAGGTTCAGAAGAAGCGACCTGCGCTTCCCCTTCGACTGGGTCGCTGCTCGACAGCGATGCGCTGCTGCCGCCGCCGCCGCCACCGCTCGCGTCAACGGGCTCCCCCACCGCCGCAGGACCGGCGGTGCCGTCTTCTTCCTTAGGCTTGACCCCTTCCCCCCTGCTCACTACCTTCGATATCGCCTCCATCGTGCTGTGAATTATGCCCTTGCGCGGTGGTGGGGGTTCTTCTTCCCCCCCCCCCG